ATAGATAGATAGATAGATAGATAGATAGATAGATAGATAGATAGATATAGATGATATACAGTAGATAGATGATAGATATAGATAGATGATAGATGTAGATAGATGATAGATAGATATACATTAATAGGGACATAGAAAAAAATAGCAGGATAGCCACAGAAACATAAAGTATGGCTGAATATATTATGTGCAGCCTGTGGGTGGTGAGTGAGATCTGGCAGGCCTACTACCTGCAATAGAGCATTCATGTTCAAAGGCAGTCTATCCTGAACAAGTTTCAATTCAAATACCCAGGTGTGAGAAGCCATGGGAAGAAAGCAGGGGATGAAGAACAAGCTTTGTGTGAGAAAAGGCTGCGGAGTTTAGGCCAATGGGAAGCCTTAATTAACTCACTGAAACTTTGGCTGAGAATTCACTCTCACAGTTTCCTAGATTCTGCTTTACCCCAGACTAGCATGACAAAGAAGTCCTCCTTCTTCCCCCCACTCCTCCCACCAGCCCTATAATCACCTTGCAGGAATCTTTCTTTCTGGATTCAGCGCACATCATGTTCTCTGTCACGCTGCCGTCATGGTATCGCCTCATATTGCATTGATTTCGATCGATGATGCTGAGCTGAACGAACTGCAGCTTGTCTGGTTTCTTTCCCGTATTGCTAATAATGCCCCAGCCGGCCACTTCACACCGAGTATGTTCAGGGACATCATTGTTTACAGTCTGATATGGCAGGATCCGCACATGTGACCCAAGAACCGCGGGCTCTGCAAGCTAATTTTGAGAGAACCAGAGATGAAGGAAGCAAACTGTATCCAGGTCCAGGATATCAATTCCTTCAGATTAACAGAATTGGAAAGGACCTTGAAGGTCATTTAGTCCAACCCCCTGCCCAAGCAGGAGACTCTACACCAGTGGTTCCCAAACTTTTTCAGTCCACCGCCCCCTTTGTGCTACAAACTCATCCTCGGTGCCCCCCACCCAGGGGTGGGATTTATATTTCTGTGGGTGTGGCCTAATTTGAGGGTGTGGCTTGCTGGTCACGTGACTGGCTGGTGTAGCTTGCTGGCTGGGCATGGCTTGCTGGTCACATGACCGGATAGGTGTGGTTTGGTGGTCATGTAACTGGGTGGGCGTGGCCAGGTGACTGGTAAACCAAATACAAATGGTCCTCACTTAATGGCCGGTTGTTTAGCAAGTGTTCTAATTTATGACTGGCCTCCCCAGAGCTACTTGACCTGTTTTTGGAGTTTTGACAGCCATGCACATACATACACACACACACACACTCCCTTCTAATCCCGCTGGAGCAGGTCATTGGACTAGAATCGGCAAAGCATCTCTGATTAGATTCTAGTAGTGAATAAAATCTAATCAGAGAAGCTTTGCCGATTCTTGTTGATTTATTTTATTTTTATTTCTTTATTTTATGTTGCTGAATTGGATTGACATGTGTGTCCCTTCTTGTGCACAACCCAGAAGCTTTTGTGATTCTTTGCAGCAAAAATTACCGACCTCTGGCTTTGCTTGACTTTTCAAACGTGCCACCACTGCCGCGTTTTAGGTGCCAGCCCCGCAGGTCCACCCCATTGAGCCCGCTGCACCGGAGGGACTTGTCCAAGCAAGTCTGAGTGAAGCAGTGCACCAAGTCAATGGGGTGAGCCTGAGAGAGGGAAAGAGAGAGAGAGAAAAGAAAGAGAGAGAGAAAGAGAGAAGGAAGAAAAGAAAGAGAAAAGGGAAAGAAAGAAAAAGGGACAGATGAAGAAAGAGGGGGGGATGGAAGGAAGGGACAGAGAGTAAAAGAAATAAAGGAGGGAGGGAGGAGAAAGATAATGAGATATCTATTCTGGTCCAATCACCTGCTCCAGCAGGGTTAGAAGGGAGTGTGTGTGTATGTGTTCTCCTTGTAATTTACCACTACAATTTGGTTTTGCCTTCTTCAGAATTGGCACTTTAAAACATTGGGGAAAAGTAATTTTTTAGGGTGGAGATCTGGTCCAATGGATCCTGTTTAAAGCCTCAACAAAATGTGAGAGCTTCCTGATAGTCTTGGCCATGTTTCGTCCACAAAACCTTTAACAGAAGCCAAAGATGTTTCAATGTGCTGGCAAAGATTTTTCAGTGTGGAAAAGGGCCTCAGACTAAACTAGGCCTCATTTCAATCTGATGCGCCTGGTCTCTCTCTCTCTCTCATTCTCTCCCCCTCCC